AAGTACCAAGGACAAGTCCAAGAACAGTTGAAACAGATCCACTGCGGCCGCAATCCATTTTGTGCGTCCGCAGTGATGAGATTCAGAGAGGTGCAGTTTTTGGTAACTCAAGCACTGCGGCCGCAAACCATTTTGTGCACACCGTAGTAGCCTCACCGCGACCACAAACCATTTTATGCGGTCCGCAGAGATGAGATTCAGAGAGTTATGAAAAATGGAGATTGAAGCCAGTGTGGTCCGCAAGTCATTTTGTGTAGACTGCATTGAAGCCACCGCGGCCGCGATGGCCAGATTCAGAGAATGCAGAATCAAGCCAAAAATCCTCAGCGCGGTCCGCGATGAATTTTGTGCGGACCGCATTACCTCGTCAGGGGAATTTTTGTCCAAAAAATTCGGCCTAGTATAAATACTTTCTTTTCACATTTTTAGGTCATTTTTTGTAATCTGACTTTGGGCTGAGCACGTGAACAACTATTTTGTTCCATTTTGAGTAATTTGTAGCTACTATTAAGCTGAATCTTCATTATCTTAGTTTGTAATTAAATATTATGGGTTATTCTTCGTCTAATTTCTTGTTTTCTTCCATTATTATGAGTAGCTAGACCCATTAGCTAGGGTTGTAGCTCAACCCTAGTGTGGGTATTCGATGGGTCTTGTGTTTTAGTGCTTAGATGTTTATGGGTGGTTGATCTTTGGACTGATTTACGTTTTCTAGTTCCCTGTGGATTCGATCCCGACCTATTCGGGTAAAAGCTGCTTCGACCGCTCTCCCCGCTCTATAGTGGTGCAGGGTTGGCACCGATCACATCCCATTTATTCTAAATGCTACTAGTCTTAGAGTCCTTTGAGTTTATTTAGGCCGTCAGCTCTTATTGTTTTCATGGGCTTAATCCTGAGGACTTATCCATTTTCGTCACCTTCTCACTTGCCTTCTTCTTATCCTTACTCTTTTCTTTCTAAAACCTTGTTGCTCTATCATAATTTAGCTTACGATCGATTCCCTTATGCTTTTCTGAACATCATGCAAGACATCACATCGCTTTTAACTGTTCTTTTACTCTCTGATTAGACCTTTCGGTACTTAGAAAGCATAGGCTGGAAGGTATGCCACTGACGATGCTGCTATCATTCCTGGGTATTGAGTCTCAGCGCTTCTGGCCTTCTATCTGAAGTATGGACTAACCTTCTGGCCTTCTATCTCGCACTGGCTCCTTATTTATTAATAACAGCTGGGGCAGGAACCTTTACTTCCTCTCCTTGACGTCGTGCTTGCACAATATTCTTGAATCGTAGCGTATCTGTAAGATTTGGATAAGTGCCATCTCATTTTTTTCATTTTTATCGCATTCTTCCTTTACCATTCCATAGTCACTAGAACCACTTAATTCTGACTTAATGCCACATCAATCCATATTCCCCCCTTTAGAGGTGTACTAAGCGCTGAAGCCACGAGGATCTACCTATAGATGTTTTACCTCTTCATCTTTGGCGTCGTTTCACAACATCAATGATCCTTACTCGCCTTGCGGCTATCCTTCTGTACCAAGGATGACAAATTCCCTTACTCGCGAGGGCGACACTTAATGTAACTGGTACATACAGTCCCTTAAGCTTAACTTTGCTAACATTGCTTGCTTTAGGGAAGCATCTTCCTGAATGACCATTCTATGAATTTCTCATAAATCTTCTTCTGTTGTCTATTCTACTATCGCCGGAATGAAATTTGAAATTCTCACGATGCTGACTATTATCAAATCACTCAGTTCCTAATTCATGTTTAGTTTATCTTGTTCACCAATCCATACTGGTTTCTATTACTCTGGGGTCTAACTTTTCCTTCTGTTAATTACGTTAGAGTCGCGACCTTATTTCTCGAAATGAGGATGTGACTGTATGGTCTATACTCTCTTGTTGTCTTAAGGCCCATCACCTCCCGTCTCTTTCTTCATTTGACTATAGATTCTATAACACTCTACTGTTGCCATCCATGTATCACATCTCACACATAATGCTTTATTATCCCTCTTCGTACTTCCCTGCTAATATTTCTATTTATCATTTCATCCTGAAAACTTTAACAAGACATTCTTTCGCTTTTCACCTTCCCTTGCTCCATCTACTGGTTCTTCGGGCTGCCTAACATTCCCCCTCTACTAGGGATGGGAGCCATACTAAGGTAATATTTATCCCTTCAAAGTTTCCAGTTCCTATCTTTGTAGTACTCATATCTAGCTGTACTATTTTAGTGTTCACCATCTGGATATCTCACAAGGAGATCTATTAGCACATTAATATCCTTCGGCAATATCAACTACACAAGCAATCCATTCACCCATTTGGGTTACCCTAACCCCAGCCGGATCTTGATATCCCGTCCTTCTCTTAACTATACCTGTTAGCCCCCATAGGGCATAAATGAAATAGGTGTGACCAATTGTACATACCTATGTTACTGTTGAATATTACACAAAAAGCTTATGTTCCTCTGCCTGAATTATAAACACTGTTAACCTTCATTAACTGGGCGCCTCGTACCCTTCTTCATCTTGCTTCCTTTGCTTGTTGAAACTTGTATTTATCTTCTTAATCTCTCGTTGTCTTTCACCATAAAGGTGAATAGGCATTCTTTCCTTAAGGCTTCTTATCAGGAAGCTTACACCTTTCAGTACACCCGTGATCTGCTAAAGACCTCACATTTACTTATCATAAGCAAGATGCAAAATTGAGTTCCTCTAAATCAACAATTCCACAACTATATCTCTTATCGATCGTCTTTCTGAATGTAGGCATCGTCTTATCACGAATAGAAGTTCGGGACTTGAATTCTTATAAGTGAGCTCTACCACACGATCTAGAGTAAGAAGAAAGAGTGACAGTCCTAAATTCCCTGTAGCCTCCTGCTTATAAGTGTGGTACACAACACACCCATAAACAAGACTCTACTAGACACGACTTATAGACTCCCTAGGACAGAATTGCTCTGATACCACTTTGGTCACTACCCAAACCGATGGGCTACGATTGGCATCCGGTACCTTACTCAACCGAATACCAACGTCACATATCTTTCATATCATTCTATCATAGGTAAATGAACCGGAGCAGAGCATGAGGGAATACAAACTTATACATATGAAGTACGGGCCTTTAAGACAAAAATAGCCACTCGTGTACTGAACATGGGTTGACAAAGCCATACAATCTTTTACGTACATCACATCTATCTACAAGCCTCTAAGAATACATAATTTTTATAAAGGTCGGAACAGGGTCCCGCCATACCAAACAATACCCGTCTAAATCATACTAACCAATCAAGCAACTCCGAAGCAAATGGAGCGCACCAACATCTTCCACTGAGTTGATAGCCTACTTGGAGGGCTCTCGACCTGTCTATCGGGACCTGCGGGCATGAAATGCGACGTCCCCAGGTAAAAAGGGACATCGGTACGAATAATGTACTGAGTATGTAAGGCACATAAATAAGTACATAACAAACATGGAAGCAACATAGAGTAAATGACTCAACCGTAAGTCTGGATAACTCTGTAAATCATGAAATACTTATAGTGTCATGCATATGCATATGAATATCATGTCGTGCATAGGTACATAAGTTCATAACATCATCAAGCCTCTGAGGGCATCCCATCATATCATCTCGGCCACTGTGGGCAAATCATGAACGTATACCAGCTGATCAGGTGGTGGCATATGTAACGCCGTAACCTTTTCCCATATCCCATATACATATATATACATATATACGCATATATAATGCCGTCTGAGTCATGGGTAAAAGCATATGTAAATGAATGTAATGCATGAGAAGTACGTCAATAAAATATCTTGGAGTGTCATAAGACCATTATGCCTTTGAACAATATCATGAAGTAAACTTTTTCAACTTACGTATTTTTCTGAGACCCATGAACAGATGATAGAATAATATGACACATGAGGAATCAAGAACATAAGCACCTCTAATATTTTTATGAATAGAGTCACGTATGGAAGTTGTGCATTTGCACGTTTCGGTTGTGTCGTATAGGTCATGCCAAAAGGAAGAAGGGATAGCCTTAACATACCTGAACCGATTCTCCTGACAATCCCTTTAACACCCGCTGATTGCGACAACACGTAATGGCAGATCGAAGTAGGGAAAAATCCATGAAAGCTTACATTACTGAATTCTCGAAAATCCATGAAATCATACGTTACTGAATTCTCGAAAGCTCACATTATTGAATAATGTAACCTCATATTTTTGAAGAATGAAATCTTCATATTGTTAAGTTTTTAGCGTTATGGTTGGAGAGTTGAATTTTGGGTGAAAGAGTTAACTTTCATTTTGACTAAAATGATCTAAGCTTTTGAAAGATCAAGATTTTTAAAATGATCAAGCCTTTCTTGTAACTATTTAATGGCTTACACGTTTATAGCCACTAAGCACATATGGCTAATTAGTCATAGATTTGAATGGTGGCCTACTGCCACGTGGCGAGTGGGGGCGGAGATTATTAATCTTTATCCACTTATTAGTTAACTGGGTAATGTCCCGTTACCCGATAATTAATCAATCACCCGCATAATTTAAAAATTGCCCCAAATTACTTAAAATTTTACTTATTTTAATATACTTTTTATATATTATACTACCATGGTCATATGGTATCTTAGATGGTACTAGTTCATAATTATCGGGTATTATCGCTCGACCCGTATTTTATCCCAAATGCCAAACTTGGACGAACATTCATTTTCTTTGACTTGCTTCCCCTTTCACCTTCACGAATTTACTCATCACTTGTGAAATAGCATAATCCTTATAATCTCCAAATAATCTTTTACTTGGATTGATGTCAATTACCTTACGATAAATTCAACGTACAATACTATAGGGCGCGACATCGTCGTAATTTGGTACTGCGAAGCGTAACATCATCGTAATATAATACTGCATGACGTAATATCGACGTAATATTGCGGGGCGTAACATCATGGCAGCAGCAAAATCCCAAAGCACCAGTGTAAGGACCTCCTGGCTTCCAGAACTAACAGAGGAAACCATACCAACCTCTACAAACCAACAACTCAAGTTTAGAAGATCTAATGAAGGCATTCATAAATAAATTAGATGAAAAACTTGAGACTCAAGGAACAGCTATCCGGGAGCAAGGAACAGCCATCCGGAATATAGAAAGACAATTGGGGTAGATCACATCATTGTTATCAGAAAGGGCTCTGGGGACTTTGGCGGCAGACACTGAGAAGAACCCAAAAGTGACGATCAAGGCTGTGTCTCTCAGGAATGGGAAAACATTATTAGAGCCCATTGCAAAACCAAGGGCTGAAAGGGAGATCAACTCAACCAAGATAGCAGAAGAAATGAAAATTGGTCAATCTCTGCCTAAGCAGGATATTAGCAGCAAGGAGGTTGATAAGCGGAAATTTAGCAGCGCAGTTGAGGAAAGCAAGGACATGCCAATGTTACTCTTTCCTCAAAAGATGAAGGGGGAGATACTATACAAATGCTTTGGGAAATTCTTGGAGATGCTGAAACAACTATATGTGAACTTCCCGTTCACCGAGGTGCTCGCCCAGATGTCAGCCTATGCAAAATTCCTGAAGGAAATCCTTTCAAGTAAAAGGAAACTCGAGAAAATGGAAGTTTTCAAACTCAATGCCCACTGCAGTCCATTGTAAAAAAAATTGCAAAAGTGTGGGGATCCTGGCAGTTTCACTATACCCTGCTCATTGGGGAGCAAAAATTTTGACAAAGCCTTGTGCGATTCAGGTGCATCCATTAACTTGATGCCATTATAGATGTTCAAGAAATTGGAAGGAGAACTAAGAGTGGTTAAATCTGTGCCAGTATCTTTGCAACTTGATGATCAGACCACGATCATACCAGTGGGAATAATTGAGGACATTCTAATGAGGGTAGACAAATTTGTCTTCCCGGTTGACTTCATCTTAGTAGACATGGAAGTGAATAAGGAGGTACCTCTAATCCTAGGGAGACCGTTTCTTTGCATTGGTCGGGGTATTCTTGATATATATGAGGGAGAACTCATGTTAGGAGTGGGAAACAAAAAAGTGGTGTTTCAAATGAAGAGAATGTTGAAATACACGTGTGATGAGGCATCTACCTATGCTTATCTCAAGCTGGATATGGTGGGAGAGTTAGCTGAACAACACAAGTAGGATAAGCTGGTAGGTGATTCATTAGAGAGATGCATTAGTCAATCAAGCACAATGGAGGATGAAGATCCTGAGATCAAGAAGGAAGTTGAGGCACTGGAAGATGAGAACGAGGTGGTAGATCAAGAAGAATTCGAGAAAGAAAAGATCAAGCCGAAGCTGAAATTGAAAGTACTATCGACACATTTGAAATATACTTTTTTGGATACTAACAATTTTCCCGTGATTGTTGCTACTGATTTGATAGGTGAACAGGAAAACATGCTTGTGGAGTTACTACGGAAGCATAAAAAGGCAATCAGTTGGAGTATAGCCAATATTCAGGGGACCAGCCCTGCAATCTACTTGTACAAGATCCTGTTAGAAGAAGGGAGTAAACCAATGGTGCAGCTCCAGTGCAAATTGAACAGAAACCTTGAGGAGGTGGTACAAAAAGAGATACTCAAATTGTTGGATGCAGGTGTAATATTTTCCATCTCTGACAGTCAATGGATCAACCCTGTACATGTTGTGTCGAAAAAGGGGGCATGATGGTGGTAAAAAACGAGGACAATGAGCTAATTCCTACCAGAACAGTTACTGGTTGGATTATGTGCATAGCCTACCGAAGTTTAAATGATGCAACAAGGAAGGATCACTTCCATCTTCCTTTCATTGATCAGATGTTGGAGAAGGTGGCAGGGCGTGGATGTTACTGCTTCTTAGATGAATATTCAGGGTACAATCAAATACCCATTGCTCCCGAAGATGTTAAGAAAACCACCTTTACCCGCCTTTCCGAAATCTTTGCATATCGAAGAATGCCTTTCGGACTATGCAACGCACCAACTACTTTTCAGAGATGCATGATGTCAATCTTTTCAGATTTGAATGGGAAGTGTCTGGAGGTGTTCATGGATGACTTTACTCTATTTGGAGATGACTTCAAAGATTTCTTGAGGAATCTCGAAGTTGTTCTTAAATGATGTGAGGACACTCAACTAGTACTCAACTGGGAAAAGTATCACTTCATGGTTAAGGAGGGGATAGTCTTAGGCCATAAAGTCACAGATGAAGGTATTGAGGTTGAAAAAGCTAAAGTAGATGTGATAGCTAAGCTCCTACCAATGACTACAGTGAAGAGCATCAAAAGTTTTTTGGGGCATGCCGGTTTCTATAGAAGGTTCGTCAAGAATTTCTTCAGCATTACCAAGCCCTTAACTGCATTACTTGCCAAGGATGTGAAAGTTGTGTTCAATGTAGAGTGTCTCAAAGCATTCAACTGATCAAGGAAAAGCTAGTGAGTGCTCCCATAATGGTGACTCCTAACTAGATTGAACCTTTTGAGATAATATACGATGCCACTGATGTGACAGTGGGAGCAGTGCTGGGGCAGAGGAGAGATAAACTTTTCTGACCCATTTACTATGCAAGCCGGACCTTGAATGATGCTCAGGTGAACTATGCTACCACGGAGAAGGAGTTCTTTGTAGTGGTCTATGCTTTTGACAAGTTTAGATCCTATTTAGTGGGAAGCAAGGTAATAGTGCATACTGATCACTCAGCACCGAAGTATTTGATATGTAAGAAAGAGTCCAAACCACGTCAGATGCAGTGGGTATTGTTGTTGGAAGAATTTGATCTAGAAATCAAAGACATGAAGGGCACAGAAAATCATGTGGCTGACCACCTGTCGCGATTGGAGAAACCAGCTGTTGAAGCGGTGGACATTCAGGAAGAGTTCCCATATGAGAAGATTTTTTCCATTGCAGCAGTCTCTAATAGACAATCATGGTTCGCCGACATAGCCAACATTTTGGCTAGTGGGTGGCTGCTATACGACTTGACTTCCGACCAGAAAAGGAGCTGCAAAGTGAGGTAAAAAGTTACTTCTGGAATGACCCCTTTTTGTTTAAATTATATGCAGATGGTGTAATTCGGAGATGCATACCAGAAGGGGAAATGAGAAGTATATTGTCCCATTGTCATGATGGAGCAGCTGGAGGACACTATGGAGGATAGGACAACAGCGAAGGTCATGGAGGCAGGTTTTTACTGGTCATCTCTGTACAAAGCTGCAAGATCTTACGTGGCTGCATGTGACAAATACCAACAGATAGGTAACATTGGTATAAAGGACGAGATGCCCCTGAACTCTATTTTGGTGTGCGATATCTTCGATGTCTGGGGCACCGACTTCATGGGCCCTTTCCCATCGCCCCATTCCTATGAGTACATCCTAGTGGCCGTTGACTACGTCTCCATGTGGGTCGAGGCAATCCCAACTAGAATATTTTCACTTGCTTTGGAACTCCCCGAGTCATCATCATTGACAATGGGTCTCATTTTTTTAAATAAACAATTTGCCACTCTGCTGTCTAAATATGGGGTAACTCATAAAACAGGAACCCCATATCATGCTCAAACTAGTGGGCAGGTAGAAGTAGCAAACCGTGAACTCAAAAGAATTCTAGAAAAAATGGTTAGTGCTTCCAGAAAAGATTGGTGAGTAAAGTTGGATGAAGCTCTATGGGCATATACAACAACATTCAAAACAACCATAGGGATTTCACCCTTCAAGTTTGTATATGGAAAGTCATGTCACTTACCTGTGGAGATAGAACATAAGGCTTATTGTACAATTAAAATGCTTAATCTTGATCTTAGTCTTGCATGTGAGCACAAAATGTCATAGGTGAATGAGCTGGAGGAATTCCGATTGGGCGTGTATGAGAATGCACAAAATTTCAAGGAAAAGACGAAGAAAAGGCATGACTATCTGATTAAACCGAAGGAATTTCATGAAGGGGAAAATGTCTTGCTATACAATAGTAGACTCAGATTGTTCCCGGAAAATTTAAGTCTAGATGGACGGGACGGTATGTGGTGAAACATGTATCACCATATGGGCGATTGAGATCCAGAACATGGACAGAACATAGAGTTTCAAAGTGAATGGGCACAAGCTAAAACCATATCTTCCTGGAGGATTTGCTAAGCAATCCTCGAGCATCATAATTAGTTGAGGATGCCTGGTTGAGTCAAGCTGACGACTATTACTCAGAACTACCTCTAACTCTTCTACTAGCTTAATCTTTCCCTTTTGTTTCTTTTTTTTGTTTGTAGCATAGAGTAGGTAGAAATTAGTGTATAGTAGGACTTGGTAGGTGCAGGAAGGTATATATTGCAGAAGGCCAGGACAGAGGTGTTAAAAGGCTCCTTGTGAGTGTATCGGTGCGCGTCCACTGACCTGGTAGGGTACCTCGTGCATGTGGTCTCGCAAATGATGATGTCAGACTATGCTGAGATGTGCGCGGCCGTGCACCTGAAGGGTAGACCATGCATGTGACCATGTATATGCACCAATATACTGTCATATGTGTGCGGCCGCGCACGGATGACCCGACCGTGCACCCAACCACGCATAGGTAGGTTTCTCCTTTTTTAATTTCTGGCCCAACCATCAACCCCCTTCTAATATTTCCCCCTTTCTCTCTTCTTTCCCTAACACAAACCCTATTTTGCCCTAACCTGTCCCAATCTCTCTCTGCAACCAATCAACCACCCCTCCCTCAAGTGTGCTTCTTCCCCTTTCTCCTTTAGGTATGCAACTTTATTTTGTCAATTCTTTTATTTATTTATTTTTCTTCTTCTTCTTCTTCTTCTTCTTCTTCTTCTTCTTCTTCTTTCTTGTGTAGTTTTTTCCTTTTCTTCTTCTTCTTCTTCTTTTTCTTTTTCTTTCTTGCTCTTTTGTTTTTCTTGTGGGGTTAAGGTTGAGTTTCACCATGGAGACTGAAAATATAGTTGCTAGGCAGTGAGATTAGTATATATGTAGTCTATCTAGGGCTAAAATTTGCTTGTGGGGGGTTAGGAAAATATGTGCATGCTAAGTGTTTGTGTAAATGCCACAATGAGTTGAGAGCATAATCTTGTGACCAAGTGTAAGGGTGAAGTCTGAGTAGCCTTTCTTGGTCTGCCGAGTGATTCAATTGCTGATATTTGGTGGTTTGTTTCAAGTGTTATGGCTCCCTCCAAGAAAAGAAAAACTGCAAGTGCCTCCACTAGTGGTCAAGAGGGCACGTCCAGGTCGCGATCTTCTGCATCTGCTCGCCCATATGATCAAAACAAGTTCGTCTCCTGGGAAGCCCAAGAACGATTCAATAGCAAGGCGGGCAAAAAGCAAATACCTTAAAGGGGAATCGACATTGGTTCTCTCCTCAATGAGTGCTACCAAGTTCACGAGGAATTGGTCAGGCGAGGAATAGAGGTGTTCTTTGAAGAACCTGACGAGGCAACTCTATTGGTTGTTCAGTAGTTTTACGCGCATTGCCCGGAACATGAGGACCATGTATGCATAGTCCGAAAGAAGAAAGTGGACTTCTCCAAGGAGGCCATCCAAAGAGTCTATCACTTGCCGGAATACTTGGAAGACACTAATGCAGATGACTACTATTTCATGCACAACAGAAAACCATAATCGTGGCGCCTGTTCTTTGCAACCATTTGTGTACCCGGGAAGGAGGTAGTATGGCTAATGGAGGGGCAGAAATTTCACTCGACTTCGTTCACTTTTGAGGGAAAGTGCTGGCTATACATTATCAATAACCGTCTGATGCCTTCACGTCACCCAACTGAGGTGAATGGTCCCCGGGTTGCTTTGATTTGGTGCTTTATCAATTGGCACAACTTTGATGTGGCTCAGGTCATTAGAGACGAGATGACAATTTGTTGTCCAGTGCAGTGATATGGTTTCTTCTTCCCATTGTTAGTCACTCGGTTGTGCCGTGAGGCACGGGTACTAGAAAACCGGACTACGAATGGGAAAGTCAAGCAAGAACATAAATTTTAGGTTGCTAAAGTAGTAATTGGGAAGGAACCTGTTGTGGCTGCTAAGGTGGATAGTGAGGAGTCCAATGCGCCCGATGAGGTGAGGGAGGAGCACGGTGAGGATGTTGAGGTGGTTACCCCGCATGCGCAGGGTGTTGGAGAATCTTCTGGAGGCATATGGGAGACGAAAATGGTTG